TTGAACCTGTGACCTGTGTATTCGTAGACAGTTGGTAGGTCTGTCATAGGTCCATAAGCAGCAGGGGTTCGATCTGTAGGTCTATAGAGTAGAAGTCTTAGCAAGTTCCAGAAGTCTAGCTGTAGTCCTTCTAGAAGGTCGGCAAGTGGGCAAGTGGTCGAGTGGTGAGGCAAGTGGTGGACTAAACTGCAGTGCAATCGCAGTACGACGTGGGCAAGTGGGCAAGTGGTCAAGTGGTGAGGCAAGTTCAAGTGGTGAGGCAAGTTCAAGTGTGTGTGTGTATGTGCGAGTGTTCAGAGTTATGCGTGTGGGATATCCAGGGTGATCCGGTGTGTGTGAACAGTGAGTTGTTTGGGCGCATGTCGCCAGTTGCTGCGCTGCTGTTTACATTCACGAAAAGTGTGAATGAGTACGAGTCTGATTTCAACTGCGTCCTTCAGGACATCCATTAAAATTGGAAGGATACAGAGATCAAAGAGTATCATGGGCCCTGCGCACAAGGATGACACGCATAAATCGAGAAATGGTCCAAATTTAAGAGAAGAAAAAAGAAAGAAAAAAAAAAGAAAGTATTTACTGTTGAATTAAGTTAAATTAACTTTAATAGTGTTTATTCAACTGCTACTGTAACAACATCCACGAATGGGCTCATATCTCGTTTGACGAAGTCCAAATGGGGGTGCACGATGACGGGGGGTGGTCTCTTTTTTTGCATCCCCTTTCGTCGATGCTCACTTTTTGCCTTTGGAATCTGAAAAAAAAAAAAAATTGCTGTCGATTGAGCATCAACAGAAGGGGGGGTGGTCTCTTAATTTTGTTGGGTCAATGTCATCTTGCACTCGTCAGTCGGCCGACTAACAAATTGTTTGTCCGTTAAAAGTCCGGTAAAAACCATGGTAACTGACCGGACGTCCGGACCGGGTTCCAGACAGTCCGGAACAACATGTCCGGGTTCAGTGCCCGGTCCATGATGTCTGGATGGAGGCCACCAGGACGTTTTTCGGGTCCTGGCCGCCCCTTAAAAAATAACGGGGTGATTTTTCAGTGTCGTTTCACCCCACCGAACAGGGCCTAGAGGTCCGGACACAAGACACTGCAGGTTTTTGGGGTGGCAGGTTTCACACAAGCCCGAGCAATTTCAACGCGGCTGTTTTGACGTGCCGCCCGCCGCCGCTGCCCGTTAGAGAGAGAGAGAGAGAGAGAGAGAGAGAGAGAGAGAGAGAGAGAGAGAGAGAGAGAGAGAGAGAGAGAGAGAGAGAGAGAGAGAGAGA